GCCAAGGGGGGTGGGAGGTGGCCACGGGGGGAGGGAGGGGGCCAAGGGGGGGGGGGGGGGGCCAGGGGGGGAGGGAGGTGGCCACGGGGGGAGGGAGGTGGCCAAGAGGGGATGGAGGTGGCCACAGGGGGAGGGAGGTGGCCACAGGGGGAGGGAGGTGGTCAGGGGATGATGGAGATGGCCAAGAGGTGTTGGAGGTGGCCACAGGGGGAGGGAGGTGGCCAAGAGGGGATGGAGGTAGCCACAGGGTGAGGGAGGTGGCCAAGAGGCGTTGGAGGTGGCCAAGAGGGGAGGGAGGTGGCCAAGAAGTGTTGGAGGTGGCCACGAAGTGTTGGAGGTGGCCACAGGGGGAGCCAAGAGTTGACAGAGGTGGCCAAGAGTTGATGGAGGTGGCCAAGAGTTGATGGAGGTGGCCACAGGGGGAGAGAGGTGGTCAAGAGGGGAAGGAGGTGGCCACAGGGGGAGGGAGGTGGTCAAGAGGTGTTGAAGCTGGCCACAGGGGGAGCCAAGAGTTGACAGAGGTGGCCAAGAGTTGATGGAGGTGGCCACAGGGTGAGGGAGGTGGCCAAGAGGGGATAGAGGTGGCCAAGAGTTGACGGAGGTGGCCAAAAGGCGATGGAGGTGGCCAAGAGTTGATGGAGGTGGCCAAGAGTTGACGGAGGTGGCCAAGAGGTGGCCAAGAGTTGACGGAAGTGGCCAACAGTTGATAGAGGTGACCAAGAGGTGGCGAAGAGTTGATGAAGGTGGCCAAGAGGTGGCCAAGAGTTGACCGAGGTGGCCAAGAGGGGACGGAGGTGGCCAAGAGGTGGCCAAGAATTGACAGAGGTGGCCAAGAAGTGGCCAAGAGTTGATGGAGGTGGCCAAGAGTTGATGGAGGTGGCCACAGGGTGAGGGAGGTGGGCACAGGGTGAGGGAGGTGGCCAAGTGTTGATGGAGATGGCCAAGAGGTGGCCAAGAGTTGACAGAGGTGGCCAAGAGGTGGTCAAGAGTTGATGAACGTGGCCAAGAGGTGGCCAAAAGGGGACAGAGGTGGCCAAGAGGGATGGAGGTGGCCAAGAAAGGACAGAGGGGGCCAAGAGGTGGCCAAGATTTGACGGAGGTGGCCAAGAGTTGACGAAGGTGGCCAAGAGTTGACGAAGGTGGCCAAGAGGTGGCCAGGAGCTGATGGAGATGGCAAAGAGGTGGCCAAGAGGGATGGAGGTGGCCAAGACGGGGGAGGGAGGTGGTCAAGAAGCATTGGAGGTGGTCAGGGGGTGATGGAGATGGCCAAGAGGTGTTGGAGGTGGCCACAGGGTGAGGGAGGTGGCCACAGGGGGAAGGAGGTGGCCAAGAGGTGTTGGAGGTGGCCACAGGGGGAGGGAGGTGGTCAAGAGGTGACGGAGGTGGCCAAGAGGGGACAGAGATGGCCAAGAGGGGACAGAGGTGGCCAAGAGTTGATGGAGATGGCCAAGAGTTGACGGAGATGGCCAAGAGGTGGCCAAGAGTTGATGAAGGTGACCAAGAGGTGATGGAGGTGGCCAAGAGTTGATGGAGGTGGCCAAGAGGTGGCCAAGAGGGGACGGAGGGTGCCAAGAGATGGCCAAGAGTTGACCGAGGTGGCCAAGAGTTGACAGAGATGGCCAAGAGGTGGCCAAGAGTTGACAGAGGTGGCCAAGAAGTGGCCAAGAGTTGATGAAGGTGGCCAAGAGGTGGCCAAGAGTTGACAGAGATGGCCAAGAGTTGGCCAAAAGTTGACAGAGATGGCCAAGAGGTGGCCAAGAGTTGATGAAGGAGTCCAAGAGTTGACAGAGGTGGCCAAGAGGTGGCCAAGAGTTGACAGAGGTGGCCAAGAGGTGGCCAAGAGTTGACGAAGGTGACAGAGGTGGCCCCAAGAGGGGAGAGAGGTGGCCAAGAGGTGGCCAAGAGTTGACAGAGATGGCCAAGAGGTGGCCAAGAGTTGACGAAGGTGACAGAGGTGGCCCCAAGAGGGGAGAGAGGTGGCCAAGAGGTGGCCAAGAGTTGACAGAGATGGCCGAGAGGTGGCCAAGAGTTGATGGAGGTGGCCAAGAGTTGATGGAGGGGGCCAAGAGGTGGCCAAAAGTTGACAGAGGTGGCCAAGAGGGGACAGAGGGTGCCAAGAGTTGGCCAAAAGTTGACAGAGATGGCCAAGAGTTGATGAAGGTAGCCAAGAGGGGATGAAGGTAGCCAAGAGTTGACAGAGATGGCCAAGAGTTGACGCCCAACCCGAACAACACCCCGTTTATTTTTTCTTACCTCTCCCACGTATTCCATGACGAAGCTGTTTTTCCGGATGCGTTGGAGGGTCCTCACCCCCCAACCTCTTCCGTTGCCCGTCCGGAAAATACAAAGATCGTAACGGATTCCTTTTTGAACCACTCGGTTGGGACAATCGGCACCGCAGCGACACCGGGAATTACACTCGTAAATCGGAAGCCCGGCTCGGATTTTCACTTGCCCCGTTTCGTTGTAAGCGAATTTATTCCGCGAAGCACCGGGGCAACAACCGGTGGAGGCCGTTCCTTCCGTCAAACAGTCGGAACATTCGCAACCAACCGCCACCGGCGTCAGGTTGATGCCTTCCCCCACCTTGTACTCATTGATATAAACGAAGTCCAGGGGGGGCCCGTGTAAATCCACTTCGTTTTCTACCACGATCCTCCCCCGGTGACTCCGGGTGTTGTTGAGGTGTTGTTCCCAACACCGTAAAGCGCGACGTTGTTGAGCTTTTTGAAGGAGGTACGAAGAAACCCGGGGGGGGAGACCTCGGGGGCCGGGTCGGACGGGCCCCCCCGGGGCGCGAGCGAGGTCGCGGTGGAGTTGTTTCAACAGGCCCTGGCAGCGCAGGTTCTTGCGGGGTTCCCAGGTGTTGGCGC